CGGCCCCGCCTTCACCGCCGGCCTCGCTCCACCCCGCCCCCACGCCGGGGCTCCGCAGCAGCCCGCTGGATGAGCCGCGATAAGGCTTGTTTTTGCGGATGTTTTTGTATCTTTTTAAAGTGATTAGCAGGATGTATATCCCACGGCCGGCCGAGCTCCGCGGCCGCGGTGCTGTGGTTCGCGTTGCCCCGCACGCACAGCGCAGAGGGTCGCGTTCGCGCCGGGTAAAATGGCTGCCAGGGGAAGTCTTTGGGCTCCAATAAAAGGGGAAGCTTTGAGGGACTGACTCCTCCACCGCTTAATTGATTGCGAAAGAGCTTGATTTTTTGAAGGTGGGCAGGGCCGCGGCCCGGCGGGGGCGGGAGGGGATAGAGGGAGCGCTTTCGTTTTTCCCCGTCTCTTCCCCTTAGTCAGCTGACTGAGCCGGGGGCTGAGGGCATCCTCCTTGCTGCTAAAGGCCGGTGGGAGACCGGCCGTGCCAGGAGTACATTTGCTGCTGGCTGCAGTCATATGCGCTAAGTGCGAGTCAAACACGAGGTGTTCAAAAACACTGAAGAACTTGTAAGACATCAGTTGTTGCATTTCATTTAAAAGCGAGGATAAATGCTCCGTTTTCCTATGTTTGCGGTAATACGTACAATTGACTATTTCAGCAAATGTTTCAAGGAGGTTTTTTTTGGTTTGTTTTTTTTTTTTCAGGGGTAGCTCTTTTTAGAACTTTTAATGTAGAGTTGTTTTAAAATTTTGAATCTATGCATACTTTGTTCTCAAACATATGTGTTGGTGAGGCATTAAAAAAAGGACTGTTAAATATATTCGGGGATCACACCTTTATGTACATTTATAGATGTGTATATATTTACAATGTTCTTAGAAGTCCCAGAGTTCAACAGAGGATGAAAGCCAGGGCAGAATCAAAATTCTGTGAGAAACTGAATTTCCATAGGTTTTATGTCTCATATGGATTTACTGCATTTATGGGGGTTTGCAACATTTATATTGACTTTATATTGGGTAGGTCTACCCCACAAACATCCCTCCTACTTCCTGAGCCTCTGTTCTCTTAAATTCTCCCCTAGCCCTCCCTAAGTGATTAATGGGTACCGATGCCTTGACTGCCGCATTTGTTTCCTCCAGATATTCATAAAGCACTCAGACATCCTCCAGCATTCAAGTTTAGTAAAAAAGCCTTGAGCTGTGGGAGCCATCAGACTCGAGAAACGATGGAGGGGGCTGGCACAAAGCTGCTGATCCTGCTCCTGCCAGACTGACTCAGATGATGTTCTCTGGAGGCCAGAAGAGATGAGCTGGAGCAAAGGGTAGCAGGGAAGACATGTCTGCGTCAGCCGTAGCTCATATCTGTGTTTGTGCCCTGCGTGCCAGCACGCTGATAGCCACAGGCACTGGGGTCCCCTCTGCGGGGAGCTGTGCAGCATTTTCTGTAAGAAAACCAGGGATGCTTTCCGGCTGCAAAGAGGAGAAGGCTACAGCTGCAGCACGCACTTGTCCCTGTTGCTAAGGTAACACATATCACACCCACGCTGGCCTAGAAGCAAAACAGTGCGCATGGGAAATTTCGTAGGGCCAGGAGCCTCGCGTGGGAGAGCACTGCTTTTTCAGGTGCTGCTGCCTCCCATACTACTGAGCCGGGTCTCACAAATCCCTCAAAGATAACTCTTCGCATGCAGTTTCCCTGATTGTGTTGGAGGTTGCTATGCCATCCAGCTAGGTGTACACCTGAAATACTTTGTCTTGTAATGCTCTGCCTTCTGCTGCCAAGAAATGTCTGCAATGACTCTGCTTGCTGATGGTTTTGGGCAGCAGGACTGTGCAGCACAAGGCAGTTCAGATGCCCGCTGAAACAAAGGTTGGGCAGCTCTGCTTTACATTCTGAACCAGGAACACAGAGCAGCCCCTGCTGTAATAAAAGAGCTGCATGCTTTTAACCACTTTCCAACATCGCTCTTGTTTTGCCCAGCAGTGCATGCTGTAGGTCACACAGAAACACATCTCAGCAGCTGTGAAAAGCACATCCCCAATGCCAATTTGTGTTTAAGTCCAAGTGCTCCAAAAATAAGAGGTGATATATTTTGAAAACTGCTTGAGTCTCTCATTTATGACTTCCAAGGCACACTTCTGGTCTTTAAATTAAGCAATTTATTTTATTACCACTACTAGGAACAGATCTGCCATTTTATACTGGTTTACAGCTCTTTGGAGTGCCATTGATCCCTCTCTGGGGTCAGCAAGCTGTAACAGGCACGAGTCACATCCTAAAGCCTAAAAATGTACAGGAGGCAGTGACTGCTGTGGCTGGCAGGAAGCTGCTGAAGAGTGACATAAAAGCCTGAGTGCCTAAAGCAAAGAGTGTCAGTAGCTGTGATTTGTCAAACTGACTGTGAGAGCTGTCTCCCTTGGCAAGAAATGCAGTGGCCAGGCCTTCATCTGTGTTCCTGGACTCACTCACCACAGGTACCCTACCCAAACACAGAAACCACGCACACCCAGAGCTCACAAGGCAGCAACATGATGGGTAATACCTTGTTCTCCCTCAGGCACCAAAAGGATTCACAGAGGAGCATTTTATCCTTTTCGCTTCTGATCTGGAAACCTAAGGATGCCGAGGTTAAATGAACTGACTAAGGTTGCATAATTAGCCAGTGGCAGAGCTGAGAATAGACACCATCTCCATTTTTCCAGGCCTAACATCTAACTCTCAGGCCCTTCTTGGGGGCATAGACAGGCTAGCAAAACTGTATATCACAGCTGTATAGAATATGACATTTTTAGAACAGGCTCAATCCTGAATTTACTACAGCTCTAATAAAATAAAAACAAACCAAAACCAAACACAACCACAGGAAAATATTTGAAAAAAAGGAAAAGCAACAATATTTTCTTTTTACAGTGCTCCTGCATGGGTAAGAAGGTAAAAATGGAATTCAAGTGACATTTATAAATATTAATGGACTTCTAAGCACTAGCACATTAAACAAGTTCCCAAGGGTCAAAGCCTGAATTAACTTTGACTAATGGTTGCTGAAGACCTAGGCAAAAATAAAGCAATGCTGTGAAGAAATGTTAATCTTTCACAGATGTTTGGTAGGGCTAAAATGCAGTCATTTGTCCTCCATTTCAAAACAAACTATTTTAGGGAAACAGTGCTTCTTTCATGCTCCCAACCCTCCCCTTCTTTGCTTACTCTCTTTCTACTCTTGCGTATTTGAATGCATTTTTTTGCAATTTCCTTTCTTCAACTGCTGCTGTAGATGCTGGGATTTATCAGGCAACTTAATAACCTTAGTTGAATTAGTGGGGGAATGTGGAAGACAAGAAATCCTGTTCACTCTTGTTCAACAGAAAGCACTCTGGGAAAGGTTCCGTTAACAGTGAAACAAGGGGGTGTGAAACTCCAGCCTGGGAAACTCTCCTGCCTGAGGGCTTCTGAACGCAGATTTGTGTTCCAGGTCACTGAACCCCTGCTGCAGACTGCAGCTGAGACAGATGGGCAGAGCAACCTAGGGGTTACCTGCAGCTGCCCTCCACTTACATAAGGCCTGGACAACTGGATCAGGTTATTGACAAGCCAAGAGGAATTACATGTCACGGTAGCTAGGCAGTGAAGATGGTGATCTGCTTTCACTTTAGGCAATTTGCTCCTTCCAAGAACATCCTGGAATGGTGAAACAGTATGTACATTTCAAGGAAAGGTTCAGCTAAGCTGCTTGGTTCTCAAGGGTTCTAGAAACCTCTCATTTCATGCAAGATTCACTCGAGAGAGGGTCATTTTTTCTAAAATATTTAGGGAGAAATGTTCATAGCTTTGAAGCTGTTTAAAGACATGACTTCCGATGCAGTGCAAGTCAGAGTCCCCTTTGATGTCAGAGAGAATTAGGCTCTACCTGTCCTCAAATATCTGGCTCAGTCACCTAAATGCATTTACAAAGCTGGCCTTAGCAGCTTTCATTAGTGGCTGGCAGGTCTCTGAGCACAAAGAACACACTGTCCCCCACACTACGAGTCTTTGTTAGCAGTGCACCCATTATGTTCAATTAGTCGCAGCATGGAGCATATGCTGACCGTGCCTTGCACTTTGCCTGTCTGTCCTGCCTGGGGGCATCTACCAGCCCAGCCCAGCCACCACCCAGGTTCTGCAGCCTGCAAGTACAGGCCCAGGGCAACACAGTGCCACTGCCTGCATCAACACAAGATCCCTGAATCTCAGCTGGCAGAAAGAAGGGCTGTGCCTGTTCCACTTCTGCACTGCAGCAGCCACAGCCAGTGATGGCCCCTAGGAAATCACACCCATGGACAAGAACAGTATGTTTTGTGAGATGTCTGCAGAGACACCCGTGCCCACTGACTCTCCAGTGCTGCAGACTGGTTGGCTGCCTGCCTTCAGCCAGGATGGGCTGAGGATTAGCTGAGGCCTCACAGACTTCCTCAACATGGCACACACTCAGTGTGGTCTTGTGCTTTGTAGTCTCCCTCCTCCTCCTCCTTAGCCCCAACCCAGTCTGCTGCTGTCTTTCATGAGATCCATAGAAATATAATTATCATGGAGATGTCTGCCTCTGGCAGTATTTTTTTTCTTTGGAAATAATTATAATTGGCTGTGGCAGTTAAAAACTTATCGGTGTAGACAGATGACAGACAGTACAATCACATAAGCTTCCCTCTGAGAAAATAAAGCTAAAACCCATTTATCATCCTGGATGGAAACAAAAGGTCTTCCTTTGAAGAGTCAGGCTGTGAAAACACAAAGAGAAGACTGTTATGCCCATGGATTAAATCTGTGGTACGTAACCAAGTACAAGCAGTCCATTTGCAGCATGATGATACTGTAGTAATTATCACTGCTTTCATCTGAGAAATACCTAGATGGGAACATATCAGCCCACTCAGAAGCAGAAACTGAGGTCCCAAGAGGATAATTAAGCCACAACTACCTGAAGAGTGACTGTACCACAAACACAGAAAAAGTAAGTATATGCACATAGTGTCTATAAGGGCTACTTGCATGGGGATCCACTACTGGACATGATCACTTATTTCTGGAGTAAGTCATTAACTGCCCTCTCCCAGAGACCAGAAAATTTTGATTCCTAGGTATATCTCCAAAGCACAATCTCCTGGGACCATCTTTCCTGTGGCAGCTCACATGCCATCCCAGGAGGAGTTCATGCTGTCCTCACTCAGCTTCCTAGCAGAGCCCAGGCAAGGACTGTGCAGTCCTTAGAATCACAGACCCATAAGATCATCTTAAAGATCATCTAGTGCCAAATCCCACCACCCCCCTGCCACATACAGTGACAGCTTCCACTAGACCATGGTGCTCAAAATCCCATCCAACCTCGTTTTCAACACTTCCAGGGATGGCACATCCATAACTTCTCTGGGCAGCCTGTTCCAGTGTCTCACCATCCTCACAGTTAATGTCTTCCTAACATCTAATGTAAATCTCTCAGTTTAAAGCCGTTCCTCCTTGTCCTATCACTATCTGCCCTTGTCAGTAGTCCCTCTCCAATTCTCTTGCAGGTCCCTTTAGGTACTGGGAGGCTGCTCTAAGGGCTCCCTGAAGCCTTCTTTTCTCTAGGCTGGGCAACCCCAACACTCTCAGCCTTGTCCTCCCTCTATCTTGGTTCAGCAGCTTTCAGTCTCCAACTGGGCAGAATAATCCAGCCACCCTACACAAAGTCTTTTTTTGGTAGTAATTTTTTGCAAATTATTTTAACATCTGGCCCTTCTTTGGCCTGAATGGTTTCTAATGGCATGCAGGTAAGCAGTCCTTTATTTTCTTCTCCATGCATCCAAATTCAGGTTGGGTGCAATTGGGGAGGTAAGTGGGAGGGCTTCTCTCAGTGCTAATTTAAAACAATCCATAAGAATTCCTGAGATGTTTTTAAGCAAATGAAATCTGGGTGAGGAGAATGGCTATCGTGTGGAAGCTGCTGACTACTCAGTACATATGAACAGATGATAGACTCAAATTCCACAAGACATGCTTGGATCTAATGGTATTTGCAGAGACACAAAGAAAAATACTGTTAGCATGCAACCAGTTGTTGTATGGCAGAGGGATGAGAAGGGAATAGAGAGAAGGGAGGATGGGAGAGATAAGGACAGAGAAATACCAGAAACAGAACTGCACAAAATGTTTTCTCTAAGTTTAGTTCTCAGGATTACAGACAGTCCACCAATCAATTCACTAATTGATATGCCTCATGTGCAGCCACATTAATGTCACAACTATGCCACTTGGCCAAGTGCTTGATTTCACAGACAAACTCTTCCACTTTGGATGAGACTGTGGATGGTTTCTACTTTTTTTTTTTTAAATAGTCTTCTTGGCTTCCAACAGCTTTGCCTGGTTAAATTTCTCCTACTAGCTAAAAAAAGAAATTAGACTGATCTCTTTTGGCAGCTGTGAAATGGTTGCATATTGTGTATGTTTTCTTGATAAGCTTGCATGAAATGGAATTGGTTTTCTTTTGATGGATACACCCCTTTCAGCACAATGTCCCCACAAGATTAGCAAGTGTTTAATTTTTTTAGTGACTTTTTATTTGCATGTTATGTCATGTATGCTACTTCTGTAGAGCATTGAGTGGCACATGAAGCTGTTTGAACAGGGAGACTGAACTGACTGAGGAGTTCCCCAGTGAGTGTGCAACATGATTTGTGATGATGTGTAGCTTGCTAGCCAAAAAGCTTCAGTCGATGGCAAGAACTCTGTGAGATTTGGGCCAAATTCAGGTGCTGTAGAAAATATGAACTGGCTGTGCTGGGTCTGCCCTAAAAGCAGTTTGGCCCCATGTTCTGTAGGGACAGCACCTAGATATGAGTGCCTGGGGACAAGGGAGAACTTATGCAATAGTCTTTACTTTCTTAGGTCCCCAGCCTCCGGTCTGTTTTAGCTCAGACTCCCTGAACTCCTGCTGTCTGCATACAGTAGAGCCCACAATGGAGAGAGAGAGAAGAGGTGCAACTTGCACTGAAGACAATAGATATTACACTGAAAAGCACCGTGGGTGAATGTGATTGCTCTGACTTCTTGTATGGTTATGTGCGTGAGCCTTAGTCTGTGCTTCAGTGCAATGCTATTATTAAGAATAAAATCAATGAATGACAATGGAGATGTTCCAAGACAACAGCAAAAAGGCCAAAATGAGTATAAAAGGGTAATACTATTATGCAAGATCTTTATTATATCTCATAATATGAGATAAAGTGTCTGGCATTATTATTATAGTAGTATGAGATAAAGAGGCTGGCATTCTGCCATTCTTTTCCCCAATATTTAATTTAGCCATGAAGGTCTTTCAAAATTACATTCATGAGAATTCAGAGGGGAGTGACCAGCAAGGAATCTATTCTGTCTTGAAAGTAAAAGCTTTTGCAAGGTGGAGGTAGGATCATTTAATTGTTTCTCTGACAGAACCTCTCAAGAATAAATTCAAATGTAAGAAAAATTAAGTACTGGAATAATTAGCAGAGTATTTCAGTTTTAGTTATTATGTACTGTTTGCCTGCCTGCATGGTGGAACTTTTCAGTACTGGTAGGACCCAATAATGGCTGATGGAGAATCACAGGCTGGCATTGCAGGCAGCAGCTAGACCACCAGTGCAAGCTGGTTGCACATTGCCAACAGAAAATTCCCCAATGCCCTCCTTTCCTCTGTTTCCCATTCTTTGTCTTCTCAAGGGGCTGCTGAGCTGACTGCATGGGATGGGTGGGCAGAGGGGGCTCCTACCAAATTAGTTTTCAGCCCGATCTGTGAGCTGTTCCTGCTAATCACACTGCTGTGCATTGGCAATTCCTGCAGGGAAGTGACAGAAACATGCAGATCAGGAAACAAAATGGGCAGCTTCTCATTAGCTCAGCTTATCCCAGCAGGAAATCTGATGTGCCAGGGCCATGTTTCCTTTTTCCCTCTGTAACTGTCCGGCAGAGCACTCCATCTCTGGACAGGCTTCATCCCAATGCCTGCCTGTACAGCTGAGCAGCTCTAAAGAGCTGGGACTGCCACGGCTTTCAGGGCCTGTGTAGGCAAGACTACAAGGCACTGCCATCTCCAGCTTGGTGGACTGTGGATTCCTGTGGGGCCAGGAGTCTTCCCAGGCAGACTGGCCCAGGCCCAGGACACACAGACATATGGTTGCTCTATGGCTCTGGGGCAGGATGCCAGGGACAGGCAGAGCTCCAGCTGAACCCTAGCTAGAACTCTGCTACTGCATTGTGGCCTCCTCATGTGGACATTTTTCCACCTGAATTTAGTTACACATGAGTATTGTCAACCAACTTGTCATCACAAGTCTTCAGTTTGGAGTAGGGACAAAGAAGAAACAAGGATGAAATTAATTTTCCGAGTTACATGGAGCAACTTTAAATTTAGCTTATGGCTCTCCTCATGAAGCAGGTCTCCAACAGATGCTCTTTTCAACTAAGTTTTATTTAACTATAACTACCTTTAAACCTGCCTGAAGTGATAATTGTAGGTTCTGCCTTTTGACACCAGATTTGAACTAGCAAACAGGAAAATAAGGGAAGTGTTCAGCACGAACTCTGCTGGAAGTGTTACTGGTCAACTGAAAAAAACTGTAAAACAGCTCTAGTTTTGTTTGAAATTTCCCTATTACTTGTGAAAATTATACCAAACATGCAACATTAAATAATTAAATCCTGTTTATCTACCAATTAGCAGCAGTTAAATGCAGCTCATCTCCATAGAGAAAAAAAAAAAAAAGCAAGAGGGAAAACAGTGCCCTGGAAAGGGTTACTTTAAGAATTTTTTCCCCTCTTCTCCTCAAGGCTGTAGCCAAACAAGGCTTGTAGTTGTTACAGGGCAGGGCCTTGCTTGTACTACTGCAAGAGTTTACACCATGCTTAACTGTTTCATTGTGGCTGCAGCAAATAATGCAGTATCTCCCTGCAGAACAGTGGGAAGTGCTCCAGCTATTCAGAGACCAGAACTGGAAGAGCTGCTAACAAAGGAGGTTTATGTGGAAACCAACACTATTCCCGCATACTCAGCTCACTGGTTTCTGTCTTCCTCCTCCTCCCCCCTTCCTCTTCTTCCGTTTAGAATTTCCTTTGCTTGTGTATGTTTCTGAAGTGGCTTAGACTCTTGTCCTCACCTAACCTTTTACCTCCCCCCTGTTTTTTCTCTTCTCCTTATTTCTTCTTGTAGCTTTTGGACACTAAAGGTAGCTGTGGTAAACAAGTTTGTTTGGGGTGTTTGTGTGCGTGCATAGGCTGGTGGGAATGTCCCGTGACTTATGTAAGCTTACATTAAGGCTGTAGAGAACTTCCATTTCTTATCAGTCTGTCCTCCTCACCCCCAATACTTTTTACCTCTTTCAATGAGCTGCACCTTTTTCTTTGCTTTTCTCTCACTTTTCACTCTCATAGCAAATATGGTCATTCCAGTGCTATCTTCTTCCTTGCTGGCTTTTCTCTGCTAATGCAGAAATCCCTTCTGCCCTTCTGCATGACAGAAACATGCTCTTCCACCTACTGACGACTTTTCCTATGTAGCAGCCTTACCACTTCCTTTAGGGATTGTTTCTCTGCATGGGCATGTCCAATCGTTTCTTTGTGTTCCCCAGCTTTTGTCTTCCAAGTCTGTAATCCATAGGAATGGTCACTACTACCATGTCTTTAACTTTGCCCTTCTTCACTCTGCATGCTGGTACTGTTGCAGATACCTGTAGGGTCTTAGTTCCATTTTCAGCTCTCTTCAAGGCAGAGGGTATATGGTCTTCAAGTCAGGCTGAAGCACCTGAAAGCACACCACTGAAAGCAACACCTTTCTTTGCCTGAAACAACTTTTTGTAGAAGTCTAGAGTCACCTCCTTCTGATAAAGCGACATGTATGCCTGGGAATATTTCTGGATAAGAGCAAGGTGTGGCTCAGTGATATAACTGCCTTGGCTGGTCATGTGTAAGGAACTAGGAGCAGCAGGAAAGCTTAAACACTGTGGTTTCCTGCATGTCCTGGTAAGTGTAATGCAAAACAGTCACTCAAAATAGCAACTGTCACTTGAAAAATATGACTCATTTTGACACTCTTGGATGTTTTAACTGTATACCATTTGTAGGGCTCTAATGACTCAGTGTGAAGATTTGCCTGAAAAGCTTGTGAAAGGCAGGTCAGTGCTAGAATTAACCTGAGTCCACAGCAGCTCTTCTAGGGAGATGGCCCTCAGTGAAAGGGGCCCCTGAGCACTGGCAGCTGTATTCCAACATAGGGTGAAAAGCACCAAGAAGAGACTTCAGTACTAACCTGACCAGCCACTGAAAACAGATGCCTTTTTGTCTGGCTTTTGTTTTGAAATGGCCAATAAGAACAGATCAGCACTGGCACCATTGTCTATAATAAATGTGTCCTCACGCAGTGGAAGACTGTGGTGTGTTGTAAACAATCACAGCACTGAGTAAAGTATAATCGATCACACAAGTGCCACAAAGGATACATTTGCCAAAGCATGGTTTAAAGATTGGGATCTGTATAATAGAGCTGGCACACTTAAGACATGGTGAAAAGGAGCTACCAGCATTTTCTGGGATGAAATATAGGATGGATTGTCATAAAAAACCTTAATAACCCTTTACTGTTACTGTATTTTCTGCATCACAGTAAAGCTTTATCTGCTGCTTGTCAGAAGGTCCCTCACACTGATAAACTGGCATTTTGTATTCCGAGTCCCTAAAAAATAACTGACATGTTTAATCTCAAATGCAGACTTTGTTAATGTTGAGCACTGAAAGATCTTCCTGTATGCCGTGGGTCTTTCTCGTTGCTATATTCTTCAAGCCTTATGTTGGGGGTCACTCTGCTAATATCAGGAATGGCAAATTTGGGTGTTTAGAGACACAGTATGTTGGCACAGGATAAAAATCTGGGTCCTGCAGGGAATATTACAGCTTTCTAGAAGATACATTGTCTGGCCATACCTTCTTCCATTTCTTCTATTCTTCCACCACTGAACAGAACAACTGTTCTTCATAAATGAAAGCTTTGCTCGTCCTCTCCAAACTTTATGCTGGTAAAGGTCAAGTTAAACTGCTTTGAAACTCTGAATATCAATACAACTCTTTGTGGTGCAGATAAAAAGGATTTTTTTCTCAGAATCAGGTGGTTTTGAAAGGTGTAACATAAAAATGTCTGTCCACCAGACAGATATAAATGATCCAGGCTAAATTCTGAGGCTTCAGGCATATAGGTTATTGCATATAGAAAAGAGAGAGGCGGTGAAGATCTGAAAAAAACATAGGTGAGGTAGGAAAGCCCATCCTTACTCAGAATGTCTAGCCTGACCCCAAAAACTAGTCAAAAGATCAATTCAAGAAGAATACTTGAATTTGCAAACAGGTTCTGTGTTTTACTTTCTGCTGTTTGATTCATTCTGGGCACAAAAGTTACCACTTGGCTTCTTCATCACTTCTCCTCCCCCTGATTAGAGTAATCAATGGGACGCTGAGTTTTGATTAGCTGCTTTTAGCAGAAGGATGACAAGCACCATGGTGTTCACCTCCCCTCTGTATGTACCTGTACTAGCAAATTCAGTCTTCTACAGTCTCCTACAGGAGACAAGCACTGTAGAAGCTGCGGTTTCTCTGACAGGAAGTGGGACCAGCTTCCTGCTTCTTATGTCCTGACACCCACACTGGATTGGTGTCAGCAGTGGCTGCTCACAGGTGGCACTCCACAGAGACACACCGAGTCAGTTCTGCCCAGCTTAGCAGATGCTCAGACTGACCACATCCGTTACATTCAGGTCACGTTGTCAAACTTCCAATTACTTGGAGGGAAACATCATTACAGCGGACTGCACTGTGTACTTCGGAGAGATGAAGATCAACTACAAGCAACAAATGGAATATAACTAAGCAAAGGTATGTTTTGTACATTTAAGCCAAGATAGTATGGAAGTGCTTTTTAAAGGAAGCTCTTTCATTCCACCCATATGAATTTGTTACCTGTATATCAATCCTGTTCACAATGGAGAGAAAATGGAACTGGCTTGCAGTTGTTTATTTTCTCTAACACAGTCACCTGCAACTCCTTTGTTTGAAAAGAGTTCTCACAAACCCAAACATACTAACAGGTACATCCTTATTCAAACAAAACTCAGCATACTAGACTACTTAGAGAAAAAAACCCTCCAAACCTGCCACACGTAGAGTATACTCTTCTATCCCGAGAAAAGTCTTCTCTGAACAGAGTTTTTTATTCTTTGTTGTCAATATTATATAGTTGAAGATGATGAAAATATTCCAGAATGTTTTACTGGAGTTTACAGGCACTCTACAGAAGGCTGTAATGAAATGGCTGCTGGACACGTTAGTACAACATTAATGAGTGACACTTTTAAGATCACAGTTTTCACTGTTTTTACTGTTGTTAGACAGCATTTGATAAACTCGGCAGAAATCCTTCCTGCCATCATACCAGAAACTTGCGCACCTCCTGTAACAGAGGAAACAATGTTCAACAGATGCTGTCAAACCTTTTGAAACCTGCATCCTTTTTTTGGCACTAGTTTCCAGGAAAATTTCACAAACAGCCTGTCCCTATTGGTCTGACTACTGGCTTGTATTCTTTCCCAAATGGATTCTTTGAAAGAAGGCAAAGTGCTCATGGACAAGCCATGCTCTAGAAGGATAGGGACAACTCTAAAACTTTACAAGAACACTGCTACCAAGATACAACAAGAAACTTCTGCCCGAAAACTAGAGGATGGATGGGAAACTTTTTTGTCCAGGGGATGCCTACACTCTACAGTTTAATTCTTTGTGTTATTATTGAATAACATTAAGGTGTCATTGGAAGTATTGTCATTCTTTGAAAACCACAGAAACAGGAAAATATTTTTGAATGAACAATTTGAGTTGGTGTGTTACCAAGAGGAATATTATTAGAAATAATTATTCTGTCCTTCTGGCCTCAAAATATTTGCCTTTGTTGATTTTTACAACAGGATGCATGTGACACCTCAGCCACTTCTCGATGGAGTACCAGAATACCGCTGAACCTAACTACTAAGACCAGGAAAGAAAAAGAACAGAGTAAAGCTAGGCAGTAAGTGAAAGACTAGCATTATTCAAATTATTACTTACTCTCAGTAAAAAGCTCTCAACCCTGCTCATTCCAGTGTTGCGTGGGAATAATTGTGAAATGGTAGGGCTGTTACTAGGAGGCTGAAAGACATTTCCAGCAACACCAAGCCCCGGAGCAATAGCTAAGTATTAGCTAATATATGAGAAAGTCCTGGTAGTGGCATTTACTGAATGAAAAAATACATCGAAAGGAGGAAATGGCAGATGAAAATAACCTTTACTGTCTCCAAGCCTTCTGTGGAAAGTCCCCACCTATGAGCTGTATTCATGCAGAAAAGCCAGTGCTCATACCCTCTGTTTACTTTAACCTCACGGGGACTGATTAACTTTTCCTGAGCCGTATTTCACGCCTTTGCCAGGTATCACCCAACCATTTCCTAAGACATGAATCCATCCACAAGCAAATGGAAAGCAGTGAGGCTGCAGGAAGTAGGCCAGGGTTTTCACAGGCATGTTGTTCTGCCGCTGGTTCCAGCCCCGGGAGAGGCCAGTGTGCGCGCAGGCCCGTGCGCATGCACGTGCAGCTGCCCTGTGCGGGTACACTGCAGCATTGACATCCCCGCGCGGGCACGCGGCCAGCGTGGCAGCACAGCATCAACCGACTCCTTCTTTTTCTAATTAACATTTGTCAAACTTGGAGAGAAGCCCAGGATGCAAAATTTGGATGTAAAATTCAAAGAGCACAGAAGCTGGAAATGTTCACATACAGGCTCTTCATTTATGCTTAGGTTTTTTTTATAGGTCATGCACAGATGACTTACTTGCTCTTACTGTAACTTACAATTAGCAATACAGTGATTTTTTTGTATGTCTTAGTGCACAGTAGAACTCCAAAATAAAGCAGCAAAGCTTACTAGTAGGTGGACATAAAGGTTTCCCCTTTTAAGAAAAAATTTTCTCTGAGCTTCTTCTTTTGAGTGGGTGAAGAGGGGAAGGCCTTTAACGCCATCAGCAGACAGGAGTGAGAATATTTTGACCAGATATGGAAGTTGTTTATAATAGTCATTTCTTAAACTCATGTGAACTCATTCAGCTTTCTGCACAGCACCCAGCAATGCAAGTTCAAATGATTAATGTGTCTCAGTGCTGAAACAATAAATTCTCAGTATATGATTGAAAGCTAGTTTCAAACTCTTGCGATTTCAGGGTTCAGTCACCAACTCTAGAAGGTTTTCTGTGAAATAAATTGATTAAAAGGTAAAAACCCAGCTTTTTGCACTTTTTATCAGCCCAGCAATTCATGCTATCTGCTGACATTAGAGGAGATTGGGCAGTGGGGTATTATATTTATTAAAGTAAAAAGGTAATGCATATAGTCACTCTCAGATATCCTAAATGGCCTATAAACAGCACCTCTAATAGAGTACCTAGCACTAAGGCTAGTGCCAGTTCCCAGCAGGACACTTATATCCTAGCCTCGACAAAAGACAGGGAAATAAGACATTGGGCCATGTTCAGAGGTATTTCAGAGCTGAATAAACCCTAAGAAGTAATATACTACAAGTGTTCCTTTCCTGGAGCTTTGAAGAGTACATGCAAGAGACTGAGCTGGCTACTGATGAGCCTTCCTCAACAACATGTTTCCAAGAGCCAAGTGTCAGCTCACACCAGGGCCACATACAAGACTGAACTATTGCAGTCCTCATGGCAAGGACAAAACCCATGGCTTCTCTAACCAAAGTGAACAAATGAGGCTCCTTCTTTCTCTCTCTGCACAATTTCTGGGCCTGTCTACAGCCAGCTTCTACTAGGTTTCTAGGTAAAAACTGACACTGACACTTTGCCTCCATGCTGGTGTTCCAGAGAAGTGAAAATGTTGAGACCTTGGAAGAGAACAGCTGTATACAGAAGTTAATTCTTGTGAATAGTCCTTCTTTCATAAATTCTCTCCAGAAGAAGATAACCTCTTGTATAGAACAGCTTTATGTGCTTCTCTAGAAGGGCCTTTCAGGCTGCTTGTGACAGGCCTCACTGCTCTCCTCTGCTTTTAAAGAAGATGGTGTGGCCACTTGCCGGAGCAGTAAGGCTGCTTTCAAAGCAGCCTTTTACTGTCTCAAGGGGCAAATGCCACTCTTTGCTGGATGACAATTAAAGGCTGTGTATCACTCCTGAGATGACAACAGAAGAGTTCTACTTAAATAAAGGCAGTTTCAGACACTATGGTAAAAATAATGTAGATCAATTCTAGATAATTAGCACACTATTTTAGAATTACTTTGGCACAAAGGAGGCTTTTCTTCCGGAGATTTTTGTCACATTAGAGGGTTTTGCCTATGCTTGTCTTAAGAGATTCACTTCTAATAGAATAAGAAGCTCAGTTCATAAGGAAAGGTTTTTGATTAATCATGTTTGTTATATTACCATGAAGGAGGAGTTTTTTTGAGGAAAATATTTACATAAACAGCATTTATACAACACAACATTGCAATCCAAAAGCGTCAGTGAGCTGCTTTGCAGGCAATGCAAAAGCGAGTTGCTTTATCTTAAGCTGAAGTAAAGCCACTGTTAAAGTAAATATGCAGAAGCAACAGCACCTAACAAAGGGAACATGAATAATAACTTTTCTAATTTCAGCTGAATGTGGGAGGATATAGGTAGGCAGCAAAAGGAGCTGGAAACCAATTTCCAATGTGATTCATAGAGACTTTCAGCAGTGACTTGCACAGGTAAATTTTAATAGTCGACACTTACAGATAGCTTTTCACTTATTAAAATCCAGTATGTTTAGGGCTTTTTCTTTTTGTCAAATGGAATACTGAAGCACAACAAACTTACACTGGCTCATAACATTGACTGTCAAGCATCTTGACTTTCAGACACAGAAGTGATCCACTGATTCTGTGAAATACTGCTCACGTTTAAGTGAGAGAAATTATTTGTCAGGGGAATGGAATAGCCTGCAGAAGTTAGGTGAGGATTTTAATGCCACTGGCATTGTACTAATATCATTCACAGCTCACGAGCAACCAGAACCAAAAGGATGTACTAGTACTTTAATAAGGTTATTTCTTTGCTCCATACTCCTTCATTACCACTAACATCTAGAATCACTCCCTACCCACACATTTACTAAGACAAAGCAAGCTCCCTGATGCCATTACATTCCCAACCCCTTCCTCCTACATTTTTCTTCTCATTCTGTATTACTAAACTAGATTTGGCAACATTTTCCCTTCACAGAAATCAAAAGTGGGTGTTCTGACACAAGAACAGAAAATAAGAATAATCCAAATTATGTCCACAGAGCTCCTCTATATACTATAAATGAAAGCAGCATTTGACCCACTGCTAATATAAAGTGATTCTGAAACAGTGATGGCACATGGAAAAAAATTAGAAAGCCAAGAGCAATTTCCAAACAATACCTTTCACCTTCTTTGGTCTTATATAGATTTTGATATTGTTGCTGCTATTAGAGGAGCCTTGCAGCTACCAGTTTTGACCCAGCCTGCACCCAGAAAGGGCAAGGCGGTATTATTTCAGTATCATCAATTAAATACTTTATCTAAATGTATGTTAGTGGCAATGACAGACATTTTACCTTCAAGTCTTTGCAAGCAATTTCCTTTCAGCACTGCAGAGTATCCAGATTACAGGCTGTCAGCATCGTTCTATAGACTTTCACACTATGTAACATTCTCCAAAGAAACAGAGACATCTTCACTAACAAGAATTTATTAGTATATTTGGAAGAGATAGACAGTAAATCTTTACAGCACAAAACTAAACATGGCTCCCTCTTGAGTCCAAAGTGTGCACGTTACTTCTTTTAAAAGTGCGTTTTTTAACAAGCATCTAGTTCAAAAGGAACAGGAAAAAAGAACATCATCTTACCCCAACAAAAACAAAATCTCTGAAATCACAAAAAGGCAAATTATAGAAAACTGCATTTTGGGCAAACCAAGTCAGGTCCAACCAATTTTAATAAGCACCTACTGCAGCTTCTGGAATCACTGTTGCATGCATATCTCTAGCCATATTGGATTTCTCTTTCAGCTTTGACTGGAGCAATGTGTGTTCCATCACACCAATCTGTATGTCCATCTGAATGGTTTCTTGCCTCAATTTTGTTAAGGCCTGTTTAATCTTCACTAGAGGAGCTGTCCAAAAAAAGATAAACAGTGCAACTCTGTCAGCCACTTAACACAAAAGCATTGTTTGCTGTACTTCACTCCTTAAAATTGAAGACTTGAATGAACAAAAGGGTGTTCTACTCTAAAGACACAATTGTACTGATACATCATTTTTAATATGCAAAACACTTTAAAGACAGAAATAGGCAATGACAATTTTGCTGTCTTCTTGACATCCAAGAGCTTCATAAAGATGTGCATCAACATTAAGACAGGTTTTTCAATGATGTCTTTTCCTCAGCTGAAAGCCTTATCCCCAAACCTGACTTGAGGTTTGGTAGAGAACTGAAGACATCTTCAGCAGGGTGTGAAAATATTACCTGTGAAAAGCTATTAAAATGTTTTGTGCCCTACATTTTGTTTCTAATCCCTTTCCACTAATATGATGCTGCTGCATCATTTTTCTCCTTGTAATTGCTCTTATTTCAATGAAGTACACATCATGAAACTGTCACCAAGAAAAAGGGTGTGCTGTCTGAAGCAAAAATGTACTTACCACCATCAGTCATACTGCTTCCTTTCTCTTCTGTTTCCTGCTTTACTTTCTCTAATGCTTCTGTAATCTTAAAATAGATTTTTTTCTTAATTAAACCAGATTAATATCAAATTTTTAAAAAGTCTCTGCTGAATAACTGCTTTTATTTAAAAAATTAACTAATCCACCTTACTTGTTATATAAAGAGGAATGATTTTTCAAACATTCAGAAATTTTTAATTTAACTAAATTAATGTTGTGAAAAATTACAGAAAAAGGGTAACAACTTGACCAAACACCATGGTGTTACTAAAAATCTGTGCATCCTCAATAAAAACAACAATATAATTGTTTTAGTGTGACACTGGATGGAAGAAGAAAGGAACCAATATCTCTACAGATCAAGATTCATCAAATAACCATGCCCACTGCCCTTCTGGAAGCATCAGGACTTCAGCGTGTTACACTGGAAACCTGACAAACAGCACTGCAGCAAAAGAAGGTGCAGCAGCCCAGCCTGCTGGCACTGGCACTGGTATGTAAAATCCATGTATGAAGAACAAAAGTCAAGAAACCTGTCTAGCAACCAATTTGCCTTTGTAGATAATGAAAAAAAGCAAATATATGATTCTAAAGTATAGCCAAGGTAATAATTCAATATTCTTGTACAATGTGAAAACAGCCCTCCATTAAGGCTTCAACAAGCCTTTTCAGCAACAGAAAGGAATTATTGTTGCATTGTTACTGCATACCTGCAGTGGTAATGGTATTGCCAGGTGGGCTGAGGTCTGATTGCATCTGAAAACAGATCAGTACTAACGTCCCATGTGTCTGCTTTACCTCAGACACGCGCCACTGCACATACGTAGTTTGAAGGATGCCAGCTAGTAACATATTCACCAATATTTATCAGTCAATCAGGTCACAAAGCACACACTGTAAATCTGGAGTTATCACAAAATACTTTTTCAAACTTACTTCCTTTAGAGTGAAAGAGAAAGCAGCTCGAATTCTGCAGAATTCATACACTCAGAAATCTGAGCTAGAAAACTCATATTAAACTGCTGTATTACCTACTGCAGCTGCACTTGGTGATCACTGTAGGTCCCTTCCAACTCAAATATTCTAATCTGTTCTAAAACATCTCAAACTTGTTGTACAATTTCTAACACATTCTTATTGTGTGACCTATTTTATGCAACTATTCCTGAGACATTATATTGTTTAATAAATAAAGTTGTTTTCTAAAACCCAAATAGAGCCATTTAAAAAATTTCTGAATTGGATTAAGAGTTGAAGTTATTTGGAAATCAGGCTGTAATTCTAAATGAAATGCCTTGAAATACTCAACATGGGGAGGCAGTTAGGAGACAGGAAATGTTTATTTAAATTTGTCAGAGCACCAATATAAAGGAAAAAGAAAGTCCACAACAGAAAACCAGATTTAGGTAGTAAGATCATTTGATGTATGGAAAAAATTACTGTTTAGTAAAATATCATTTTTAAGTGCCTGGAAGATAAAAACTTCAAATTGTTAATTTTAACTGAAAATAAGAATTAAGCTTTTCTTATTCCAAAGAATTTATGGGCATGATTTATTAATCCCCCATAATTCTAGGACATAGGTTATAAAATATAGAACATTTACAAATTTACATTCATTTACAAATTGAACTCACATTTCATGAGTTAAAAATCAATGACAGCCTGGATTTAAAATTTAGGGACTGGAACTAGATCACCTCCCTCAAACAAAGAATAATCTTTAACAAGAGAACAAATCAGAAAGAACTGGTTTCATTAAACTGCAACCACTAAATGCCAACTCTCTGAAGACTGTTTTAAAATAAGATGTGTTTTACCTCAGAAAGCACTCTAATCCTTTCAGTTACTCCTCCACTTCCCTCCTGGTACTTCTCTTTAGCCTGGAAAGAAACATGTCTTTGCTGTAATGACAGAGTTGAAGATATGTATGCAGATAGCTCAGAGAAAACTTCAAGACTTGCTCTTGTATGTTTCAATTCCAGAAGCTCTCCCAAAAAGCCCCAGTGAGGTTTACAAATGAGGACAGTCTTGAAACATCAGCCCCTGCAATGACTATCATTCACTATCATGTGAAGCAGTAAACAGTCCAAATACACACTTGATAAGAACTATGCTTTCTAGTCATTTACATTAGGAAAAAAAGATGAAGAAAGTCTGCCATAATACAGAAAAGATTGAATATTGGAATCCAGAATAATAGTTCATCAACAGTAAATCTTCAAGATACCTTAACAACAAGGCAAACAGAAGGTGCAGAGGTCAAATTTTGTTAGCTTTATTGTCAGCATGGCCACAACCAGGAGGGCTTGCCAAAAAGCAGACTATGACGCCTGCTAAATAGGGGATCAAAAAGCTTCTCAGATAGCACTCTGTTTGCATAAAAAACTAAATGAAGCAAAGAAGTAATCAGAGTGCTTTGTGCACGTTAGCACCAGTACTCAATCTAAGGGATGAATGCTGGACTGACACTGTAGTTTTTCCACTCCTGACAGATGTGTGAACTTCACAGGGAAAGCAGAACTAGCAATTTACTAGCTGCTCAAGACTTACAACAGCTATACATAATACTAAGGCAAAACCATGTATTTTCCCCTGCAGAACAGTTGAATAAAAATTGCTAGTTTAGCTTAGGAAGAATATAATCTGACAGACAATCAACATTTCCCCTGCTTTATATCTGACAGCAGAATTCATAGATAGCTCACCCCATGTCATCTTTGCCTCTACCCTCACTTAACAGCAAGTTAATACTGGAGAAGGCAACAACAAAAGATCAGCAGTACCTCACTCAGCAAGGCTTGTGCTGAACGGTATTCTTGAACCAAGTGCTCCAACTGATTGTTGATGTACTTTTCCCTGCTATTGATCTTTTCCAGTGTTCTGCTGATTTCATTATGGAGTTTGTCAAGGTAACCCTAGAAAATTACATTCTGTGGGTTGACAGTATACAGCCAGTATGCAAAGAGTATCAAAATGGTGCAGTAGTTAAGAAAGGTTATGGAAGCCTACAGAGAGGAAAAATAGTACAGAAATACTGTGTTTAACCAACAAAAAATGATTCCCAATGTGTTCTGGTTTTCCCACCTCCAAAACACATAGTTCAGTCTTTACTGCTTCATCACTCTCCTCTCCTCAATTAATTACAAATGTCAGTGTCAGTAAGTTACTGTAACAACAGTATTTGAGAGTATTTTGGATTTTTTAACAGCACATTCAGATTGTATTATTCTACTTTGTCCTCTGTAGTCAGGATGTACTTAGGGTAATGCATTCATTACTGGATCCTGATAGCCCTGTTAATCCTCACACATACAACTCTTCCCCACAAGGTATTTTGCCACTAGCACTGCCTTTAATGATCATTGTCATATCTTTCCCTTTTTAATTTTACAGCAATAGCACAAATAAAATGAAAAAAAAAAGATCCATTTAGTTCTTAATGCATCTCAAATAAAAGAGAAAATAAAAATGCTGTCAGATTAGTAAAATATTCTGTACATACAAGACATACCCTAGTTTCTTTCAAAGAAGAATCAATTCCATCCTTATGCTGATGCATTTGATCTACGTGAATCCTCCAATCCTAAAAAGACATCAAAATTAAAACATAGGTAAGTAACTTCTATCTTTCTCTGGTTACTTAAAAACAGCGGGTATACAAGGCAGAGTCAGTTCTCTTTTATACTATTGCCATGTATCATCCTGCCACTGCCATGTTCATAGCCAGGGGCACTGGCTCAATGTGACACAATTTATAAATCTCCTAAATGTCACATGTGACACTCAGATCCATAAACAAACACTGACATCTTCACTGATACCATAGTAGCTATGCTTTTTAGAGTCTGATCTTCATGGAACTATTTCCACTAGAAACCACTCTGGGCACAAATACTAAAAATATTGATTGTAGCTGCACTAGTTCAGCTTATTCTTAGACAAAATGAGTGCTTTTGATGCCCAACACCTACCAGTTCTGGACTATCTCTTCTTTCCTTTCTATTTTAGCCCTACTGTTACCAGGAGAAGAATGGAAAGAAAGTGGCAGAAATACCAAAACTTGGTTTTGATTATGGAATACAGTTAGAGGGGGGAGAATTATTTCCAGCTTCAAGATCATAGGAAACATACATGGACTCGGGTGGGATCTAAGAAAAGGTGCTGAGAATTGGCACTGCACACCAGGCAATGAGCCACTAGAGAGAATGTGCTTAGAAAATGTACAGAGAAACCTGTTTTTCAGGTTTGCAGGAGACTCATGATCTCTTTTGGTCTAGTGACAATCGTTCGCAATTTGCCAAACTTTGGAGTTTAAATAAAAACAGCAGGCACACAACCCACCCCCACTTCTGTCCAGGATTTTACAGTAAGTTCCAGTTTCTAGTGCCACTGATTAAACCATTAATACTTTCCTGGTACTATGTTTACATGCACAGCTTGGGAAACAGAATATGTTTTCTGGGAGAATAGAAAAAACACTTCTCTCCAATTATTTCTCAAAGAAGCTACAAGAATAATCCTCTTTTCATGTTCATTTTGACATACTCCTTAATGCCAAGAGATGGTACATTAAGCTGGAAGCTAGTAAACCTCAGATCCTACAGTGGCTTTAATTTTTCATGTATGTCTTATTAAGTTTTAATTCCTCACTGTGAGACTCAAGCATCATGTTCTCTGCAACAGATGGGCTTGCTAAGGATCACAGCAGAGTGGTTCGAGCCAGGCAATTCTTCACACAGAAAAATGCAGTATGGTGCAAGACAGGCAAGGAGCTCAGCAGACAGTTGAAGGTTTCCCCTATTTTTGGCAAGATAATTATCTTTCATTGTATTCATGTATATGTATTGTATTGCCATATCAGTGCTGCAGATTGCTCTAACACCCCAACTGCTCGGGTCACTGCAAATGAACAATTTCAATACTGCACTGATCTGGGTGTGCTACACAAGCTCCTAGAAAGAATGCTTATGGCAATGCCAGGAGCAGGTCCTAGGTTTGGACTTGCCAAAGATGGATGCCTACTTCTAAGCTGCTCATTCTAGACTCCTTGAAATAGACTATGGAGAGAAATACACAATTCTAAGACACAATGAATTTCACCCTGAGAGAGTTGCCAAGACATGATGAGCAAAAGCAGTTGAAAAAATGCTCAATTCTTTTCACAAAGCATAAGGAGAACTCAGGATGACTAGACAGGGGTACAGACCTATTTGATTGTCATGTAAAGTTCACCAAGAGGAATTCCACACAATCAGCCTGGTTGAAAAATGGAGCAACTGAAAGGTAAGATCATCAGCTGTCCTCCAGGAAGATATTTTAATAGATGTTAAACTGAGCATATAATTTTTTTAGAAGTGTGAATACACTGGAAATGTCAGAGGACTGAAAAAAATATCCCCACTGAATAAATATGTAGAAATAAGGTGCCTTCTAAGCAGCAGAAAAAAAATATAATATTGAAAAAACACCTATTTAAAAAAATATTGCTTCTAGGATCAAAGTAACTGACAAAGGATCAGACAAGATAGCACTGGAGAGCCCATTAATTACAGGTCTTTTCATGACAAAAGACAACAACTGCAAACAGAAAGTAAACAGCATCGACTGAAATCTCATTTTAATCACCACATGTACACAGGCAAATCCATTCTTCCATACCTTATTGTCAGTCCTGACTATGACTTTCAGCTGTGGAAGCACACGCTCCACTTCCAGATTCCACTCTGCTGCATCTGTTGTGGACTGTAAAATCTCTTCTTGCTTTGTAGTGTCATTCATATTCTGTGTAAGAATCACAAACTTTATACATGAAATATCATTGTTATGCACAGTGAGAACTGTTAGAAACCACTATAATGGCTTGCAGTGTTAATATCAGAAAAAGATTTATATCCAGAATGATCTAGACTACAGATGAAATAGATTTCTTTAATGGCTTTCTTTGAATTCATAAAGATTTGGAATTAAAATAAGTTCATCTTCTCATCATACATAAAACTGACGACAATTAAAAGTATATATTAAGAAATTATAATACACTTCAGAAATGGTGTATATATGTAGGATTAAAATGTATTCATGGAACTAATACCATGTTTCTGTAGAAGTCCCTACAAAAAAATTCTTGCAAATGTTCCCAGCAGCTCTTCAGTGACATTAGTTTAGAAATTGGCTGCACATTGTTCTCTAAAAATAATATTAATATATAATATCTAGTATCTTATTCATTTCAAATGGGGTGTTTTTTCAAGACTACACAAGGATTTTTAGACTTAAACCCAACAGACACAAATTGCTGCCACAGATATAAAAATCTCGCAAGAGAGGACTGATGGATAACCACTTACTGATCTGTATGTTTGTGCCTTTAAAACATTCAGGTCAATATAATCTTCTTCATTGTCTGATTCTTCTTCCTTAAAAGAAGTTTCAAAGTAAGACTTCAGTAAGTATTTCACAATCTTTCTCCATAGTTTTATTTTGCAGGAGCACAAACCAAGGAGTATTAAGTTCCATATTTCTGAACAAAATAAGACATGGGGAATTTATGATATGGAGCTTATGAAGAGACATAATACCTGGGACAAGCTGAAAGATCAAAACTACACCACATTTCCTTCAGAGCGCCACTGTATTACAAAAATAAACCAACCAAACAACAAAATCCAAACCCTAAACCCAAGGCCTCTGACATCAAATGGCCCATTATCAATAGTTATATGGTAATTGTATTTTATTATGCATTTTTTAAAGCTCTACCTTAAAAATAAAACCCCATCAAAACAAACACCAAACCAAAACCAGACCTCAACAGTTTTCATTATGTTGCTTGCACTACATATTTGGAGTTACAGAATGATGCCACACCTTAAGTATGCAAAATAACGCAACAGAAATTGAGGCAATTGATTTTTTCTTGCCCATGAGACCACTCTCTCTGCTCACATATTCTATAAATCTGTTATAACCTCAAAATTCCCATCTTCCATCACTATGATCAGGTGAGAGCCCATCACCTGTAAGTAACGATGCTTTTTCTGAGCATTAACTTTCATTTCTCTGTACTGTATTTCATCTGCCATTTTATCACCCATATACTTCACCCTTATACACTTTGTCCTCCTCCTGTCTTTTCCACCAAAATGAAATTTTATCATCCACCTCCTTTCTACACAAATCACAAAAGCTGCAATAACACAGGTCTTATGGTAAAATCCTTCAAGACTCAGTGAAAACCTTGGAGTTTATTACTCTTTCCTCTACTTTTCCCAGTTTTTAACTAACAGGGACCTTCTGGCATGTTTGGCCCCAAGTCCCCTGAATACTTGCAAGAAATTAAGACCTGACTGAGACTATATTTTGCTAAATGGATAATACATATTTGGGCAGCATTTAAAAGAACATACCACCAGAAAAAGAAGACTGGTTATCAGAACTGAGAAACCAAATTGCAGATTTCCTTAAACACACAGCCTCACTGCCTACTGCTGGCCACCTAACACAGGCTATCCCATTCCCCAAGAATTACAGAACTAGCCTTGTCTCTGTCAGCCTCATTATTTTTATTCAGAAGAATCAAAATCAAAGAACAGTCAATGAACCTTATCATTAGCATTTAATTGCTGGAAATACTGCTAAATTCAATTATGAATACAACTAATATCAATAAACTGGCAGCAACAATGGACTGGGCAAAAAAAATTACATTGGCATGTAATTAATCTCACTAGAGCCACTAGGGGCTCTAAAAAGTGAGTATCTTTTTTGGTATAAACTGCCTGGTAAAGGAATAACACCTCACTGTTTTTTATCAACACACATACATTCCAAAGACCTAACAGAATACATTAGTTGTGAAAATCATGGCCTAGGACAATACCTGAGAGCAAACCCAGAGGTTCTTTGAAGCATTTCAACTGTGCTTTAGTTAACTGTTTCATCCCCACTTCCCAATTTAAACAGCTTAGACCTTAACAAGATACAGAAAAGAGCAGACAGCTGACTGTTTTCCTATTTTAACCCTTTAGTTTAACATCAAGAGTAGATTTATCAGTAGAAAAGAAACAATTCTCAAACTTCTTTTTTTAATGCATAGTTAGATTCCACTGCACTTAAGAACATGTGCTCTGTCTTGAAGAGTTAATCTTATCTGAAAAGCAACAAAAAACTCTGCAGAGAATCTGACAATGCAGGAATGGAGCTGCAGGAAAAAACCTCAATAGCTAACTGAAAAGACTTTTTAAACAAAGCCAAACAAAATGAACAGTAAATAAAAATTTCCTCATAGCTGACCAATACTAATATAATAAAACCAGTCAAATAAACATACTGCAACATCCTCTTCCAATTTACTAAGTGTTAATTCTGCATCATCTTCTGTTATTTCTTCTTCTTCTGGCTCTTCTGTTGGGTATGCTGGCCTGAAATTAATTCAAATAACAGCAGAGCTTTTAAACACAATAAATTGTAAATACCTCTGCAAACAAAACATATCATGAGAAAAATGGATCATGTGGAACATACCTAGACAGTGATTAGTGTTGCACTACTTAAATAAATATACACTCAGCCTTGAAAGTCTTATTCATCTTGAACGGTCTTAAAAGTAAAGGCAGTACAGCACATTCACACTACAAAGTCATCTAGGAAGCAAATTTTGGGGGTTTTCTCTATTGGCATAAGCTCCTAAAATTCAAGTGCAAGTCACCACAGGCTTATTTTCAGCCTACAGTGGAATTTGTGTACTAAAGAGCAGTAACAGTAAAATATTTCCAAGGTAAAAATTACTTTGCTTTATCCATTTCAAAACTCATCAAAGGAAAAGAATGAAATAAAGAACACTTTTAAGGACATTTTCATATACTTGAGATTATCTGCCATCTAATTTGTCCTAAGATTTCCTTCAGATTAAATAAAATTACTCTAGTCTACTTGTAACATGATGATACTGTGCATAACTCCAGAAATTTATTATTGATTGATCGAACCTAAAAGGACTAAATGTTTCAACTCAAATAGAACAAGCTCAGATTAATAAGGAGTTATGTATAGGAAATAAAAAAGAAATAAAAAAAAATCATCAGTTAAACGTTAATTAGCTAAGTCTATAACGTTCCCAATTCAGCTTGCTGGTAACAGGCCAGTTGTGTGAAATTGCATTAGGACTTAATTGGTCACCCTGCTTCAAGCCCAGTTGAATTTTCCATCTCATGAAACATCAAGTAAAACGTTTTTAGTCATTCCTATGTTTCATTTTACCACTACAGCTTACATCTGTTTCCTGGAAAGCAATGCCTAAGAGAGGATGCTTAGACTGTACTGTACCTTTTCCAGGTAAACCCAGTGTGTTTCAAGGCTTCTTCAGCTAAACAATCAAGAACATAGCACACTTGCTCTCCACAGCCAGTCTTTAATTTTGAGGGAGGAAAATCCACAGACCTTCCCTACAATAAAGAGGACAGCCCGTTCACTAATGGCCTAGCAACTCAAATTTCCCTGTAGGGAGATAATTTTTTGTACACTAAAACCAAAGTGTCCCTTGTGTATGAAGATTTCATTAATGACAATTTACACTCTTCTCCTAGGCAGCTCCAATGAGGCAACAGAAGGAAAAGCAGACAAAGGCAAGGAACAGATGCAGTGTAGAAATCTTTAAGCATGTGGTAAGAGGAGGAGAAGAGGCAGCAGGGAGCAGAAGAGGCAGCAGCCACAAGCGATCTGTTGGATGGTCAAGCACACAAGTGACAAGGCAAGGTAAGAACAGCTACAGAGAAACTCAAGTATTGAAACTTAATTACCACCTTTTCAATAGTGCCCTGTTAGCTCCAGACTCTATTTATAAAATATTTTAATTTATTGCTGTCATGCAGAACAAACATAGCCATTTGTTATGGTTTAACTGCTTTAGAGAACAGTGTCCTTAACATCATTCACAGCTGCACCAGAGTATAATCTTCCATAAGATCATATTTCTTGTCAGTTGATATATACTCCTGACCTTTGGGTTTGTTTTTCCCTTTTTAAAAAATGTATTTATTCAAAATTATTATTATTAAATTCAATAATATATATTATATATGGTATATTATATGTAATAGTATAATATACATTATATATTATTATATAATTGTTATAATTATTTGAAATTATTATAATTATTATTTATTTTTTAAAAAAAACATCCCAGTAGTTCCTGGCAGTTTGTACAGCCTTTTACTCCTTAACAAAGGGAAAAGGAAAAAGAAAAAAAAAAAAAGAAGAAAACATGAACACTATTGTAAACAACTTCCTACACTACAAATGAAATCATTGGCTTTGGCAGGAACTGAATTACAAACTGTGTAAACCTTCCAGATAAAATTTCTGAAAATTATGCTACTATAAATGAGCAACATATGTAGCACTACAAAAGGTAAGCCTGGTTTAATCCATTTTACAGACTGTAGAACAAAAGTAACTGGAATAATTTAAAAGACCATTTCTGTAGTGCTAAAAAAATAATCAGCAAGTAGGTACTACTTGCCTATGTAAACTTCCAGTTAACTGAGTAACATAGTACAAACTTAGAGCCAGGAAAAAGTCTGTCCAGTCCTTGTGACCAGACCCAGCAGGAGAGCAGTGTGACTGCTGTTATTTCTGAAGGGAATGCAGGTGTTTGCACCACACTTGGGAAGAGAGCCCATGTGACACTCACAAAGGACCGCAGTTCTGAGAGCACATTTGAAATCACTGCATTGGGGTCATCGCACTCCTGCGGCTGCTCGAAGGGATGTCCCGCTTTGCTGATCAGCCAAGCGGCGAGCGTGCAGAACATGAAGAACTGCTCACCGGGATTGGTGGGCAGCGCAAAGTAGTGCCTGTTTAAAAAGGGGACAAATGGTACGTATGGTGAGCTTCTGGAGCTCTTACAGCATTACAGGTAAGTACAGGCTATGGAGCAGTTCCTTTATCCTGTTTTGTCAATGAGCAACCAATCTAAAATAAATTCAGGATGCCTAGTTTCACACATGACCACAATAGACCAAGTTTTCTACACCCAGCTTGCTTCTTTTCTAGCTTTGAGTAAGTTATTAGTCAACACCAGACTTGGCTGCCAGGTTCCCCAAATCACCTCCCCTTCCCGCTTTCCTCAAGAGATGCAAGAGGATCGTATTCCCACATCTGCAAATTCAGCTGAGATCAGGAGCATGTTTTGAAGTGATCCTTCTACTTACCTACTGTGCTTTGGAGAGCAATGAAAACTGGAACTGATTTGGATCACACCAAATTCAAATATTTGAACCTAACAAGAATTCAGTCCATAAAACCAGACCACAGGCAGTTATTCCCCCTAAAGCATAAATAACATGCACACTGGATACTGGGAACTTCTGGAAATGCTTCCTTTTACTGACACAGCTACTCACTAAGGTCCACAAAGGTTTGCTGCCCTGCTCCAAACATTCCAACGATTCAACAGCAGGCTAGAACCAAACTACAGCCACTGTACTCATACTTAAGCCTCCTTCCCAAAAGGGAATAACTTGGACTCCCTTACCAATTTAATTTTTTATTAATTGTTGATTATAAAAAGTTTAATTCTGTGACCCTTAATTCTCCACCCTGCTGTGGAGCCTGGCTGAAATTTACAGATGGGTTTAAAAGTTATTTGGGTAGGTGATGTTGGGAGCACATTGGTCCTGTTTCCCAGGCTTCCTGTCTCTCACCATAATATTAAAAAAAGACATAAAAAACATTACATATGAAACAAATACATACTGGATACCAAACCTCAGCCTTACCAACAACGGGTCCAAGACCCTCTTTGTAAAGGGCTAAAGGGTTAAAAAATACACACACCCCACGATTAGCTAGTCTGAATTCAAGACATGTAGTTATTTAGAATAACTTAGAATTTAGGCAGAGCTATTTTCTGCATAATAGGTGGAATTTAGGTAGAATTATTGTTTGCACAGGTACCCTGGCATGCGGATATCCAGTACCTGCCGGGGGCAGGGAAGGTCAAGGGACTATTTACTTATCGCATCTCAGCCTTTCGCGGGGCCTCGCGTTTTGAAAGCTCCCAGCTCACACGGGAAACTTTGCAACTGGCTGGTTTTCCCTTGAGCCAGGCATCCTGCCCCGCCTTCCTTCGCTTGGCTCCGATGGCCCGGAGGGATTC